TTTACTATGTAGTAGTGGCTGTCTAGTCGACCAACAACAACGTATACGAACACAATGCCGTCCGCCGTTGCTATTATTCAGATATTGGACCGTTTTTGAGCTTGTCGATACTGGCCGAGGCTGACTCCTCTGAAGACCGACTGACTGACCGATCAAGTGCAGAACAACCAGAACATTCATAAATTGCAACTGCAACATGCGACAACGACCGTCATTAAAGAAATTCATTTTTCTTACTGTCATATTTCACATTGCAGGTGGGCAATTTTGCTTTTTCTCTCTTCTCCTTTTACTGTGCTTTTGATCAACTACTGGTAATCTTGTCTGCTCTGTAGCTATTATTGAGGATACGTTTTATCGAAAAGGTCGGGAATGGCTTACTATTCTAATGAATTTCTCTTCATATCCTAGAAAATTGGCTCTTTGTGGCAAAACTTCGGCATCGGACAGGACTCGAACCCGTATTTGACTCTTCAAGGTTTCAATCCTGCCCTATCCTTCTACCCACCGAGTGTAACGGGTTGACATATGCCTCCCCGAATTATATTTGCCTCCATCTTTTGTTTGAAAAAGGATTTATGAATTTTGGCGGCCTCCGAACGATGTTAAACCAGGTGAACTCACCCATCATGAGGGACTTACCGAACTGAATGATGAAATGAGAGATTCTCTTATGTGAGAACTTCTGCCGTACATTGGTATGGGGCTTTCTCTTGGACGACGTGTCTGAGCAATAATCTCATTGTACCCCTTGCTACGGTAAGCTGTTAGGATGAACTTGGATCGGGTTGTGAGTGCTGACAAGAGTAAGTTTTAGCCGTAAAAAGGGCTCTTACATGATGTTGAGAGGCTAGCTGAGGTTGAGCCAGCGTCTTTTCCCTTGCAAACAGGTCTGATATCAGTCCGGTCCGTCTTGTCATAAACCACAATGACGAGGCCAGTCGCTCTCGATCAATTTCAACTCTGTAAAAACCATAATTAAATAGGCATGTGACATGAAAGAAAAGGCTTTTTCAATGTTATAGACTACCGTTCATCAATATTTTTAATTTCTGTGTTTTCGTTCAATTTGTTATATTTTACTATATGTCTTTGTTCTCTTTTCTTATTTTTATTGTACCATTTACTCAGATTGTACTTTCAATGGATTCTCCCGTTTCCTATTCATTGTTGTGGGTGTTACTTCAATGGCCATACATCGACCGACCGCTAATCAGACACAGT